AATATATTATTTTTTTTAGAAATTATACTCCTCATTTTAAAATTATATTATTTCTTTGTATAATATTAAATAATATGCTTAGATTTTATACAATACAAGCATAATCCTTTTTAATGACATCAAATCTTTTCTTGTTCTATAAAAAGTTTGAAAAGTATCATATCAATTTACATAGGTTTTAGTCTTGATGAATAAGCTTCTACAAACTTAGAAGTTGCTGCCATGATTTAACTTATATCTCTTCAACTAAACCTTTATTCTTCGAATCTTTCAAAGAGTGGATTTTTGCATGCAATAGCTTGAGCAATAAATTGCTTCAAAGAATCTGCTCTCGACATTGTCAACAATAAATCTTTAACATTATCTTTGAATTCATATCAAAATTGATTGATAAGGGCTTTGTCATTTCAATCTACATTGAAAGCAAGGTTTTGGAATTCTATAGAACATATGGTGAACTTGATCTATTTATTTTTTTAAAATATATAACTTCTTGGTATAGAGTTTGAATTTCATTGTTAACTTCTTCCATAGGTCTAGAAATAGTACTTCCATAGTTCACATTAGAAATATGTGAAATTTTGATGTTAAGAGTATTGACAAGCTTATGAAGATATATAATAGTTGCAAATCTATTCTCACTTCTACTATAAGTAGCATCTATAATTTTTCCTTCTATAGACAATTCAAATAAACTCATAAGTCAAATTATAGGAGGATAATTTGCAATCTCTAGTATCAAATAAAAATTTCTATAAAAAAAATTAGTCTAATTTCCTTAAGAGAAAAAAAATTTATTTAAAAATCTAAAAATAAATTTAAAAGTGGAAAGTCTGAAACCTTCAAAATACAACAATAGAAGTATAATTCACTCACTTCTAAAACAAAACAAGAACAAGAAGGTAGCCCTCCTATCAAACTCTTAAGGATATAAATTTTAAACAACTAAAGGATCAATAAATTCTTGTATCACTCAATAAACTAAAAAAAATACTTAAATATGGTATAATATTAAATTAATATAGCTATTGCCAAAGATAAGAAGAATAAAAAGTCTTGAAATAAGACTAAAGACTAAAAAGGCATTGAGAAGAATGAAAAAGACTTCATTCTTGCTTTCATATACATTATCTAATTAGAAGCTACATGGCAACATTCTATGGGACCTCCAACATATGTACAATTTTTAAGATACATGTTTTAACTTGCAATGCAAGTTGTCTATATGCATGCCATACTTTTAGCTTATATCACAAGTTCTTCACATACACAATACATGGCTAACTTATTAGTTAAGTTTCTAACCTATCAATCAACTATAAACATGTATAAAGTCAAATATGCATCTATAAAGCTTCTAAGAAGATTTGCCGTAAAATAATATAAAATTTACCATAAACTTATCTAAATTTATCTTCTATTTAGTATTTTTTATCTAAATATATATATATATATATATATATATATATATATGATACTCTATGATAATTATTTATACTTCTAAGATAACTTTCCACAATATTTTCAATTAAAGCCTTCTAATATATAATCATTTTTTAAAACCTAATAGATATATTACAACATATTACACAGTAGCGTAGTAATTAGGGCCTTTTTTTAATTTATTAACAAGATTTTAATAAAAAATTTTATATAAGAAAAATAGTCTATTCTTCTAAAAATATATATATTTATTAAAATATAATATCTTTTATTCTAAATTTACTAAATTTATAATATTTTTTAATTAAAAAATTAAATTATAGTCACTAAAGTAAAATTTACTTAAAAATATATATATATATATATATATCTATAAATTTGAATATAATTTTTAAAATAATTATAATTTCTATTAAAATAATTTAATAATAAAATATTTTTTATCCATTTAAAATACTATTTGTATTTTTAAAGAATCAAAAGATAAAAATATTATTTTTATTCTTTATAAATATAAATATTCTATAAAGTAAAATATTAAAAAAATATTTATAGTATGGCTTTAAGTATATTTACTTTAAAAAAATTATTAATTATTTTATCTACAAAGGTAATATTTTCAAATTAATTATTCCATATTGTAATAGTTTTGTATAACTAAAGTTACTATGTGTTATTTTTAAAGGTGCTCTAAGTTATTTATACAATCTTAATGATACTAAAATAAGAATCACTAATATATATATGTATATATATATATATATATATATACTTACAAAAATTTGTACTTATACTTGTACATATTAGCAAAAACTTGTACTTGCAAAAACTTGTGTTGTTGGACATTGCAATCTATGGCACAACTATCCATTCTCTTGTTCCCATATTCCCTATATTTTTTCCATTCTTCAAAGTTTCTTTCCTTATAGCCATTTAAAAGATTTCCTTGCCACTTAGACTATAATAATATTATGTCTAAGTTGTCTTTTATAATATATCAATATATATATATATATATATTGATGTAAAATTTTGATATTTTAATAATTTTATTAATAATTTTATTAATAATTTTATTCTTATAGAATTTGATATTATTAAAAATTACATATCAAAGAACTTTATTTTAAAAAACATTGCATAAAAAGATTTAAAGAACATAACATAGGAATAAGATATAATATCTGGACTATCATAAAATCAATTCAAAATACTAAAATTAAAATTTTAAATCTTTTAAATTTTAATTTATTTTTTTGAATTTATATATATATATAATTTTTTTTAATACAAACTTAGTTTTATTCAATCGTCTCTAATCAAAATGATAGTAATATCACATAAAATTAAATGTACAAATGTACTTTTAAATTATCTTCTAAATCATATTTTTTTAGACTATTATAGATATAAATGTGCTTGTATACATATAGAGTATTGCCAATGCTACCATAATATTTGTTAATGCCACTACGATCTCCTATCTACTTGACATATTTTTTTAGTGTTTTTTTGTTCCAAACAAAAACAAATATCCATTCAAATGGTTTGAAAGGTATTGGACAAAGAAAATTAAATGATTAAAAAAATATTGAAAAAAGGTAGAGTTTGATAAACAGAGATTTATAGTTGTAGTAACAAAAATTGTGGTGACATTAGCAATATCTTACATAAATATGTATATATATATATATATATATATATATATATACTCAATTTTTTATTTTTCTTGATTAACTTCTTTATCAAAATTTTATTTTATAATATAATTAATTAAAAAAAATAAAAATTATAATTTTTTCTATTAGTATTTATAAATTAAAATGATCATTGCCTTCCATCATTATCTTAGAATGTTTAAAAATATAAATAAAAGATGATTTAATTCTATTATGTATTTTAATTTTTTAAAAAATATTTTAATTATGTATTTATAAAAAAACGTTTTGTCATACATATATATATATAGATATATATATATATATATATATATATATACATATGTTAAAGTCAACAGTTTTGACTTAAATTAATCTAGAGATTTATTATCATAAAATTTTAATTATTTAAATATTTAAACTATTTTAATCATAATTATAAAAATTATAAAAATTATTCAATTTTATATCTAAAATAAAATTTTAAGGAATAAAGGATTCAAATTTATTTTTTTAAAAGATTTTATCAATTTTTTTATAAAATATTTAGCATATTTTTCTCAACCACCTCTTTTTCTTAAAGTAAAGAAAAAAAATGCAAAAGAATAAGACATATTCTTAGCTAGTTGTCTACAAGTCACATGGAGTGTAGTAATATCAATTGGAGATGCAGCATTAACAATTGTCGAACTTCATTGCTTTAAAAATAAATCAATTCAAATTTGAAGTTATTTTTTCTAATCATTCTTTAAGATTAATTTTTAAAATCAAATATTATTGGTATAAAACTAATCATAAAAATAATGGTTTTATTTTATTTTTAAAAAATCAAACTTTGTTATTTATTTATTTATTTGTTTCTTTTTTCTATACAATAAAGAATTCTTTTTAAATTTTGTATTTTTACTCAAAGACAAAAAAATAATATCACTTATATATTGGTTTTTATAATAGTCCAATTTATCGATATTTAGAAGAAAATGATAATTTAAAAAAAATCAAATATATATATTTTTTTTAAATTAAAATTCATCTAGAGTAATTAGACAACCAGGATACAAGTTATGATTACTTGAATTAATATTTTCTAAAAATCCCATATAATTCTATTTGCAATTAATAATCTGATAAGAATAATTATTTAAAAAATAATAATAATAATTTCTTGATTAAAAAATCCGTTGTAAAAACAAGATTATTTTATCTTAATTTAATTGAAACCAAAAAAATGCTTCATAAGAACCTATTATCATTATAGCATTTACTAAGAGATATTTTAAAGAAATTTTAAGATTTTTGGATCTAATTAACACTTTTTTGTAAAATTGCTAGTGTATGCAATTATGATTTTTTCTTAATAAATTTAATTTGTTTAAATAAAAAAATAATATATAAATCCAAGTTAAGAATTTTAAGTTTCATGTGGAACAAATATTTGATAAATATGCCACAATTAACATCAAGAAGCAAAAGTCATGCTCAAGTAAATTGCATATAAAAATAAATTCTACAACACTCTATGTTTAATTTAGTATTAATTGATATTTTTTTATCTCAGAATTCCGAAACATAAGAAACTAAGCTTCATGTAGCACACGGAATTATGAGATTTACATTCCATTTTTTCTATCAATACCACAGGAGCAAAGGGGTTGATCGCTTCTCATGTCTGTTCCAACGACAACAAAAACAAAATAAAAAACAAACAAATACATACAAAATTGGTAGGGTATCTGCGTCTATCGATCGTGGAGGAGGCGAAGCGGAAATGGGAAGTATTCCCTTCCTGAACGTCGAGATGATCGCCAGGAGAGTTGGCGGAGGAGGCAACTGTGGGTGTCGGTGCCGAATCTCGATCACTGGACGGCTGACGCGGATCCTCAGGACGTGGTAGCGTCACTGGACGGTGAAGGGACTTCCAAAAACAGGCAAATTAGCGAGGGAGAGATTCGCTGTTATTCTGGGTTCGACAAGGAGGCGGAATTGCGGAGGAATTGCTTCCCCACTCCCTTTGTTGAAGGGTTCCTGCGCCTGCTTGCCAGGAGAAGGAGCTCCATAAGGGATGACATTCCTCATTCAGCAGCATCAAACCTTGAGAGTTTGTGCGTGTACTGTTTAAGTTGCTATCCCCGGAGAACCAAGCTTACGTGTGTGTATGTGTGTGTATGTGTGTGTGTTGATGAGTTGATAGTGACCTGTGACGCGTTATCCGGGTAGCGAAGTGTGAGCGACAAGTGGAAGGTGTGGACTTTGCCTAGGAAGAGCAGAATTTGAGTGGAGGTCGTTGGTGGGGTTGCTTGCCGGCTGTCGGTATTGTAAACGCTGTGCCAGCGTTGGAAAGGATTCTCGTGTGTGTGCTGCGTGTGCTAGCCACTTTGGAGCACTCCGGGTTCTTCTGGTCTTGTTTGGATAATATCGTTTCGTGAGAAGTGATCGATCTGCTTTTTGTGTCCAGAGTTTTGTCGAAGGAGGGTGTGTAGGGAGCTCGGAATTCGTTGTTCGCATGCATCGTTGGGTTGAAATTGTGAGAATGGTCTTCTTAAGGAAGTAGGCTTTAGATTGCGAGCATCGCGTTTCGATTGAGAGCCATTCCGTGAATACTTGAGTGAGAGAAGCAAAAACCAAAAGAAGAAAGAAAGAGTTTGAGGAAGAGTTAGAAAGAAATTGTGATTTCTGCGTGTTGGTCTTAAATTGAGTTGTGGCAGGGCGCTTTCTTGAGTGGCGAAGTCCTTGCTGCTGAACCCATTCTTTATACAAAAGAGGGCCCTTGGAAACGGATCGGGGGAGTTTTTCCGTGACGAGGATACCACGCATTTTCTCTTGGTTTCTTTCATGGTCCAGATAAATTGACTTAATCTGAAATCGTATTTGCTGTGGACTGACCCTTGTGAGTTAGGCATCACTGGGTTGACCTTCTCTTTCGAGCTGGATAATCCAAAGAACGAACCTAAGGATGCTGGCAGCAATGCCCATGCGGAACTGTGGATCTGCGAAACGTAGTCTCTAAAGAACCTAGAGGTTCAAGTATTTAGTGGTGAGAGGGTAGGAATGTCCAGCATCGGGTTCACCTGTATGGGTACCTATGAGCCATAGTCGAGGGCTGAAAGCGCTTCTACCGACATATGCATTTAAATTGAGAATTATTGAGTGGAAAAAAGTGCAAAGCCTATCCGATTAACCTTCAGTTTTATCTACATTGAAATACCCAGCATCAGAGAGTATCACTTGGTTCCAGTGGGAATGCGATGTTAAAATTTCAACAAACTTGCTACCCTGCAGTTTAGCACGAACTCCCCTCTTACATGACATCAACTAGTCGGAAAGTCAGAGAGTGCGACTCCAGAGTTTCAGGGTTGTAGAGTTTTGCTGAAAGGTGCCTGTACAACTCGAAAAATGTTTACGATGCTTCACAGGACAACTTCAAGCAAAACTTCGCGCACCGAGATTCTCATGAGGTTTATTCCCCGGGCGGACGTTTCTTCCCAAATATGGAGGGGCAGAATGTTTATTATGATCATTCTACCTGGTACAATCACCTGAAAAAGTAGAATTCCCCACATATAGTTTTAACAAAATCAATCCGCAGTCAATTTCCCACCCGAAGAAACTGAAGACAATCTCAGATCACGGCCAACAAAACACTGGACGTTGTGAGGCTGGTAAGTTTCGAATATAACAGACATGTTGAGTTAGTCTAAGTGTTGCGGCTTTTATCGTGTTTCAAGCAATATCATCAACCGTTATCGCTAGGTCTTGCAACACTTGCGAATCTAATTAACACCTGGATATTGTGTGAAGGTCTGAGCGTAGTGCTCGTGCGATCTCTGCTATTCTGGTACACAAAAGCGGCATGCCGGAATGGGTGGACCCTTGTGGGCATGAGAGATGCAATTCATGTGCGGGTTTGGATGGCCCAGAAAATGGGCCGTTACCAACCTCTCATGCAGAGGTCTGCTGCCTCTATAAATTTGCTCGGCAATGGCCGTCTCCTTCAATGCTGGAGGCTCGTGATGGACTCTGTGACAGCTGCCCATGGAACTTGAAGGTTCAGCAGCAGGCAATGGTTCCAGAACTAGCAGCCAGTACAATTCATCAGCCACCTCAGGGAATCAGCGATGCACAAGGAGGTAGTAACTCCAGTTGAAAACTCATAATATACTCTCTGGGGTTCGTAGTAGCTAGATGTAGTTGACATAAAGAGACGCGACGTTTCCAGTTCAAGTCCTGGCTGAACAGTCTCTCGTGTGATGCAGGCATCATTCCCAAGTTGGAAGAAGGAGCCACGACGCCTACTTCGCGACCAGCACGGCCCACATTAAAAAAGCTTCAACCGCGGCTCCGAGTTGGACACAAGAAAAAAAATATCGAAATACGGCCACCTAGATTCAAGTCTAAACTTTGGTTTGGATCTTATTCAGATGAGGAGCTAAATCTAGCGTTGGATGCTGTGAATTACTACACGGGATCCAACCTGCCCTTCCACTACCCCGAATCTCGACTGATATTTGCTGCGAGACCCCTCGAGGGGATCAAGTTTGAAGATGTGGACCCTGCGTGTGATCAATATGTCCAAGTTGGAGACGAACATGAACTGAAATACAAGAATTTCGCCCATCAGGTCAAGAAGGTAATCCACTCTGTCTTGGGCAAACAGAAGAAAAATCCGAAGAGATCCCAGAGAAAGAATCCACAAACCAACAGATGTGGGGTGTTTGCGACGTCTCCGGCATCTGGTTCGGCTTCATCGGCTGTGCCTTGCACTTCAGGCGTGTCCATTTCATCTGAAACGGTTCGGGACAAAGCCCATGGTTCCAACACTGAAGCAAGTTCAGGCTTCAGCCCACCTCCGTTGTTCTCATACATAACTCCCCCTGGAATGCATTTGCATGAAGAAGAGGTTTCCATCACCGAGTTAATCATAATATTTGGTTGGGATAAAGTGTTCACTCCAGAAGAGCTTATGTATTTCAACCCTTCTTCAGTGGCCTCTTCCTCGTTCAGAGGAAAATAATAGTTTCAAGGGAATAATCGCTTCCTCCATGCACACGGTGCAAACCAGGGAAATAAAAAGCTCATAGAGACTGAATGACTATCGCCCCAACCGACGGGTTCCAATCCAGTCCAGTGCAGATGTGGTAGGCAAGCACTGTGAGGACCCAACCAACTTTTAGTTGAGACTAGTGGCAGAAGAATTGTAGAAAATAACTGTCAGGGGAGGGTGTGCCAATCTCCACTATCACTGCAGAATCAGTTACAATTTTTAGCAACATCCGTTGCAGGATTTATCCAGCATCCAACTTCTAGTTAATCGACAACGTCGGCCGACTAGACTATTTGTTCTGGTTCCTTTCCATTGTGTCCTAGCACTACTACTGTAGTTAATAACTCTTGAAGTATTTGTTCTTGTTCCTTTCCATTGTGTCCTAGTGCTACTACTGTAGTTAATAACTCTCGAAGTAAATCTTCTATGTGCAACCACTAGTGAAACTATTGTAGCGCCCTTGCCTAAGTTTGATTTTAACTTTGTTTCCTTAGTCCCACCCCAACTCCTAGTCTCAGAGCAAGTCCTTGACTTCTTTCTTACACTTCATTTTGACTCCCTAGTCCTACAAGGTCTTATTCTTCATTTTTTCTACCTCAAGTTTCTAATCACCACTTTTTTAGACTAGCTTGTTGCAAATGTCTTCTATGATCTACCTAGCATTGTATTCATTCTCAAACTCTTATAAAGCTTTGGCAATTGCCATTTGGACCTTAATGTAATATCTACATTTGCTTTGATTAGATTTTTCAAATTTAAATGGTTTTTTTGTAGCTTCAAATTGAACAAACAAACAAGTGCACAATTGTAGCTTATAATACTTGGTTATTAACCTTCTGGCAAATTTTCTTGTCGTCTTCTTTCTTCTTTTTTCTATTCTATGTCAAATGCCTTTTCAAATGATATTGTTGCTCACAATTTTAGCTGAGGACCAACAATCCTTAAACATCACCAATTATTCTCTAAATTCTTGCATTGCCAAATATATGCATGTTTTTTATATCATAAGGCTTTGTAGGATCTTCATTAATTCCAAGAATTTTAGCTAATGGTAGCCAACCAAGAAAAAATCAATCAACTTCTTGAACTTTATTCTCTTCTATGGGAGTATCAAGATCATTGTCTTCTTTATAGTAAAAATAGTTTTTATATGGTCGATATCAATACACCACTTCAAGCATGAGCATACATATATCATGTATTTATTACAAATGGAGGTATAAGAACTAGATAGGAGGCAAACAAACTATATCTTCTTCATCCTTCTAGATGCCTTACAACATTTCTACATTGTTCTCACAACAATGGAAAAATAATAATAGAAAGTGAGATTGTATAGGATCTATGTAGTTGGATGTGCATTGGCTACTTCGTGGTATAATATCTTTATGACATAAAGTTTAGGTTTAGGCTACAAGATCACCTCAAGTTGCTACACACACACCCAAAAAAAATAAAGACCTTTAATTGGCAACTTTTTTTGTGGAAATTGATACCTATCATTACTATGAAGGACCCATATCATCCCTTGTAGTAGTCTTACTAGCTGGTCAACACCTTAGTTTGCGTTTGATTTTGGCTTTCTTTCCCTAATCCTGCCACAACTCCTAGTCCTATACCAAGTCCTTTACTTCTTCCTTGAGTCCCCAGTCCAATGCTTTATTTTTTTTTTCCAAGCATGAGTCTGCTCAACATCCCACCAAGTGGCCAATGTGAGTTTAATTTATTAACTTTTATTTTTGCATTTTTATGAACATTTTCTTATATTATTATTTATAAATGTTTCCACGTCATTTTTAAAAGAAATCCATTTGAAACAATTACTTATGATTTCAACTATAAACATTTTGAATATATATATATATATATATTTATTTATTTATTTAATAAAATGTGATTCAATTAATCAAAGATGAATTTTAAAGAACACAAAATCTCAATGTTAAGTTAATAAGATCTTTATTAAACTTATACGTACTATACATTTATGAATCAATAATTTTTTATTCAAACTATAGGTACAATACAGAATAATGTTGGAAAGATTATTGATTCTGTAATTTAAAGAGCCACTTTAAATTGAAATAATTGTAATTGATTTTTAAAATTTTTCTTGAAATAAAATGAATAATGACAATGTACTTGGCATTTTATTCAGATTGTATGTATTACAGCCTAATAATCAATTTTCTTAAAATTCTTTTAGCTGCATTATAAATCAAACATTATTTGTTTGTTTATTTATGCTTTTGATTCACTTAATTGTTTTGGATACATCATTCAGAAATGCGTCAAAGAACTGGGTATTTCGTACTCTTCAACATAGAACAATACACTAAAAGAAAGAGTACCGTCTTCTAGTAACATTCTAAGCATGCAATATTAGAAGTGTGAATAATTTCACCTCAAGCGAACAGTATTCCACTGAAAAAATCTGCTTCTGAACAGAAATTATACTGCTAGAGTATCATTCGGTATCAGAGATCGATGATGATGTTTGCTATAGTGCTAAGGACCACTGAGAACTACCACAAAGAGAGCGTCGACAAAAGTGGTTTCACAAAGCTGAGGATTTCATCTCAATCAAATAGAGAGAAGCCTTTTAATGTTGTACTCTAGAAACACTCTCGAATCAACATGTTGGCGGAATGAAGGACGAGCTAGTACATCAGCATCGTGTTACAACAATTGCTTGAAAGGCCCAAGACCATCACTAGTTATTTTTACAGGATATAATGCATGGGATGATGGTTTGTGGTCTCTTCTAATGAATGAAGCTGGACAATCTCCACCTGGTCCACGTACCTTTAAACTCACCGAAACTAATTCCATGACAAAGCCTCACAATTCTCATTTCATGACGCAGTATCCCTGCATTTCGATATAACAAAAGAAGGCATTGTCTCAGAATTATTCATCAACGATACAATAGACTGCTCACAACTGCAAAGCTAGAAATGAAAACTCTAAATTTTCTATTCAAGACGCACCTCACGCAGCTCCAAGTTGCATTACTCACCATAGACAAGAACAATTGAAATCTAAGCTAGGACACAACTGAAGAATCAGGTCACACTGCCGAAAAATCAAATGCTGCAGTTGATACCACTACTATACGATACAAGTATACATATTCGCAAGTGTAAGAAATTCCGTCACAAACTGCTCCGGCATGAACAACCCAACTATATCTTCGAAAATAAATACAGTGTCTGAGGAATGCATCGCGCGGTTGAGGCACATGAAGTAACTTACAAATGACAGGTTACGAAGAATTCCAGATTCGCACTACAGGTATTTCCCATCCTAAAGAATTCAGAAACATTTCACGGAGCATCAGTAAAAAAATATGGAAATCAGCAAGGACCACTTTCAACGAACTAGAATGTTTTGCATCATACTCATAAACAAGATCTCACAAACCATTACTTACTTTCATAACCTTCGAAAATGACCTTCTTTAAGTCGCGCGGGTGGCAAGTGATAATCTTTTTTCTCTTCTCTGCCCACATATTGTCTTCTAATTCTCTTCTTTCTCTTTTTTCTCTTTTTTTCTCTTCATCTGTATCAGACACATCCAAGGTAAATAAATGCTGACCAGTGCTGTTAGCCACACGATGGATCGTGCAGGTAAACCTCAAGAACTACGATGAGCTCCACAAAGATATGTGGCAAACGATTTTTCCGACCTTTAAACATCAGTTACAAAGAAACAATCGTAAAAAGCGAGAATATCTGCGCGGATCTGTCCACAGGGTTCCTCCTTTAGCAGAACTTTCCAAACCATATGCATAAGAAACAAAGGAAAACGCTTGCGCAATCTGGGGCATAATAAACAGACTTTATAGGTAGATATTAAACATGATTTACCAAACTATGTTTACACTCGACACAAAAAAAGGACAGTTAATTATGATGTTAGAAACTTCAAGTTGAAGTCGATAATGTGACATCCCACATCACAGCACACTCTCTGCCCGCTTATAAAATACCCAACTTTTAATACATCAAAATCAAATATGCTCCTACTCAAAATCTTTTGATCACCTGCTGAGTCTTCCTTCTTGCGTACATGATAAGAAATATCACTGAGACGTTGCTCTACGCTCTCCACCCTACTCACCAACCCATCCATATTAATATCGAAGCTTGGAACATAGAACGAATTAATGTCCGACAGCGCTGGATTCACCCATTCAGACCCAGATGCAGAGGCTGTGAACATCCAAAGTGCCCCCTCCGACAGACTGTCTTCTTCCACGGGCGCTGACTCTTCTCCTCGTGATTCTTCATCCTCCACCTCCTTCCTATCCTCTTCACATATTTCACCGCAACCACTCTCGTTCTTTGAATTTGCACATTCCTTGTCAGCAACGGCGACCCTCTCCTCTGCTGCTGCTGCGTCGCAAGCAGCTGTCGCTGAAGCGGTATCTGCCAACCTCGTCAGAGACAATACACCCTCAGAGTTCCAGACGAATTTCAGCACCAAATCTGTTACAAGTCCCCTGTAATCGTATCTCAGACTGAACGATTCAGGGCCCTTGGCAATAAGCAACACATATGCCTTGCACATTTCTCTGCTTGTGAGCGGATCTTGGTTGCCAACGTGTAGGGGTGGATACTGTTTGTTGACCCCTTTGAAGTGAAAAGCTGGGCGCCCAATGTAGTAGAATACAGCGTCTGCGATGCATCGGGCAGTTGGCTCATTCTTCACTGTGATATAAAAACAATTGTCCGTCCATTTCGAGGGGCGTATATTGACGATGAAGTTAGAGTTATTCGGACGGGTGACAATCCCACCGCTTGGCAACAATTCAAGGGCGACGAACAAAACCACACATACCAACTGTCACGTTAGACTTTACTTCCAGAAAGACTTAGGATTTGATACGCGACACAAAAAACAAACGAAATCCAAAGCACAAACGAGTGACATCACTGCGGCTCACGAGGGCAGCGAACAAATCACCTCGCCCACTCGCACACAACCCAACACACCTTCTTACAGAAGAAAGGCAGGTTAAAACCCCGGCAGATGCTTCGAGGGGAGGGGCAAACCTAGTTCGCGAACGCTCAAGCAAAGATGAGCCGTAATCGAGTTGAAAAGCTCCCCTGCTTACCCCCTGCAGATGCCGCGAGATCTCTCTAGCAGCGCTTGAGTCACAATCAGGCATTTTGCAAGTACACTTCGTGCCCAAAGCAACCACTCGACCAACAACAACAAAAACCCGCGATCCTCCCACAAATTCTGGCAGACTCCTATAAACCAACACTACTTCCAATTACGGAACCCATCACTGCCACACTCTTTACGAAAAAGGCCCAAAATCTAGAGGCATGCGACTCCCGAGCTACCATACGTTTTTCCCAACAAGCTTTGGTACATCGCGGGTGGGTAGTTGTGAGCTCGTGGGCACATGCGATGTAGAAAGCAACCTGCTACACCTGCAAACATATGCACAAAATCAAGCGAGAGAGAGAGAGAGAGCAGGTTCCTGAACCCAGATTGTGTGGAGGTGCAACTTTCAGTAGCCTCCTTGTAACAATGGACAAACAAACTACAGTAGCCAGCATTGGGTGTGGTGTGGTGCTGATACTAACTAAGTAAACAACTTATGTCAATATTAAGTACTTGTGTTGGGTAACCTGAGCGATGAAACAAGCCCTCTTGATGTGAACTTTCTCACTAGCAAAGGTGGAACATTTACGAAGAAAACTTCACAGGGTTTCGTTTTGGTTGTTAGATGGTGATGACATGAGTTGGTCTGGGCTGTTGATTCAACATGAAATTAGAATTCATGGTGATGGAAACCAACAGGTTATTAAAGGGATTGTGTGAGAATTCGGAATAGGTGTTTTATGGAAGTTCTCTAGTTAAAGTATTGGAATAATAGTTTATGAGGATTTGTTGTGGAATGAGTCAAAGAGGGCTGGGTTTGCATTTTCATTTTGACAGTATTTTAATTCATTTTTTAAAATTTTGGTTTTGACGTTAGAGTTAAGAGTGTACTGTTTTTCTAAGAAGTCACATCTAATAAGAATCATGGATAGATTGATGTGGCACATGGAAACTTGAGCCATGTATTGGTTGGTATTACAAAAAAGCAAGGATTGCAGAATCATAAGATAAAGATTGCAAAGTACTACATATATTGCTAAAACATTAACTTTTTGATTGCACAATTGACCTTCAAAAAGAAGGTCATCTTCAATTTGGACAAATTTACAACTTATTCTAAATAATAATAATTGCTTTTAAAGAAATTATTAATAAAAATCTTACAAAAATATTTATTCAGCATTTAAAATCTTTTATAAGTGTATAAATTCTTTTTGTGAGAAATAAAATATAAAAAAATCTTAAAAAATCCACATAAAGAAGCTAATTAATGAAGCTAAGTTTAACATGAAAATAAATCTATAATAAAGCTCCACTATAATATGCTGCTTAAGCAAAAAATGCCTCGTATGTTGCTTGCACACTATCTTGGACTGGTAAGCGATCAAACCATTTTCTATGTGAGCATAGAAAGTGCCCTTATTCTATGCTAATCTATCTACTAATTCTTTATTCCACAAGCTATTTTAGTGTTTATTGCCCATCATGCCAAAATTTATACCATATCCATCCAAACTCTTCTTTGAATATCACCATATGATTATTTTTTCAAAAACTCTCCAAATGCAAAACACAAGTTCAAAGAAAGTTCTTGACTCTGTCGTACTAGCACATCCTTAGTGTTGTCGTGTTGTAATGCAAATATTGAATGAAAGATAAACAGAAGGATTCTATGATAGTAGAGCTTATAATAACAAATTATTTAGAAACATAGATAAAAGCTAGATAGATAGTAAAACTATTCAATACTAGTAATGCCTTTTGATTATGAGAGCTTCTATTTACTTTGTAAGATCATAAAAATATCAAAATAAAGTAGGTTAGCAAAAATAACATCATGGAAATCTTTAGATGATAGTAAAGAGTAGCTTTTAGCAAAACATTAGATTGATATTTCCATAGGGAGGATTATGAACTAGAGCCAAAACCAAACTATGGAGCACAAAACTACTCACCTATGGCAAATATGGCAATTTTTTAGTTGATTGGAGTCTAATATTTGAAAGAAAACTTGATAGGATTTCTCTAAGTATTTAATTTGAGGGATTTGAGGACATAAAACTTTATAAAAGCTTTGCAAAGCTAAGGTTGTTTTAGAAAACTTTGTTTTGTGTTGAATTAAAAAAAGATTGCATTTTGGTGAATCATTTGGATTTATAGTAGATCAATAAGTAAATTTTATAGGTTTGTGAATATAGTTGTGCTAGATATGTTTTGTGAATTTGAACTTAATTGAGTAATTAAATTAGAAATAATTTAGATTTAAGTGAATTAAGATCTTAAAAATTGGATATTAAAGGTTAGTAAAGATTTGTAGGATTTTGAGCAATTTGCCAATTGAATTAAAAAAAATCTTTTGTATATTGATATTTGACTTAATTTTTAATATTTATAAAAAATTTAAGAATAAGATAATAATTTAAGGAAAAAATATTGATATTAGAGGATTTATATTGAGATTAGAGAAAGAAGACAATTGACATGCAAGTAGATTAAGAGCATTTTCTTACAATTTATGGGTTAAAATGTCTTCAAACTTTGTTTCCTTGTTGTCAATTAGCAAATTGAAAAATATAATAAACTTGAATCAAGATTAATAATTGATATCATAATTATAGAGGTTTAAATTTTTTTATGGTGTTTATGTAGAATTTGACTAAATATTTTTAGAATCTATTTGAGGTTTGATTAAGATATTTAGAATTTCATTGATATTTAATTAGAATTCTATTCTTATTAGAATTTATTTAATATTTATTTAATTTAATGAATTAATTTATTTTTGATTTCTTGAAGATTTAATTAATATTTTTTAGGATTTTTTTAAAGGTTTTTAGGATTTTAAAGATTTTAAAGATTATTTAAGGTTATGATAACTTTGTAATATTTAATATTATTAAATCTTCTTCTAACCTAGTTATTTTTCATGGACATACATATTTATCCAGATTAAAGGAATTAGATAGAAGCAAGTAGATACAAGTAAATTTGATAATATTTTGTGGAGGAGTTTTATAAACATTGATTTGACTTTATATGTGTTTGTAGGTCATTGATAGATTAAAAACTTTGCTAACAAGTTGGTCATGTATTATACATGTTGGTGACTTATGATATAAATTGGCCATATGGTGCACATGTATAAAAATTAACTTAAAAGTTAGACATGTGTCTTACAAGTTGGACATGTGTTAGAGGTCTTATATAATGTCACTACATAATTCTTTATTAGATAGTATATGTGGAAGCAAGAATGATGTCTTTTTTTTATTATTATTTTTGTCAACTTCTTTTTTCTTCTTAGTCTTATTTCAAGAGTCTCTAATCTTCTTGTTTTTGGCAATAGCTATTCTAAATTTAATATTGTACTATCTTTGAATAAATATTTACTCTTTTTTAGTGATAAAATAATGTATTAATATTTTTATTATTTTTAATTTATATCCTTGATAGTTTGATAAGAATACTAATTTATTATTCTTATTTTATTTTAGAAGTGAATAAATTACTCCACATTTTTTTATTGTGCTTTAAAAATTACAAACTATCCACATTTAAACCAATATTTTAAATATTCTAATATATATATTTTTTAAAGAAAGTGGTCTATCTTTTTTCATAGAAAATTTTATTTGATATTAAATTTTGCAAATCACTCTCATCTAATTTGGCTTATAGATTTATTAAACTTATTTATTATAAGAATAAAAGAAAAAATTATGGATAATATACTTAGTTGAAGCAAAAATAAATTTGAAGCTATTACAAATCTTCATGAGCTTGTCAAAACTCTTAGGGCGAAAATTTCATGTATTACCAATGTCAACTATAGAAATATTATTTCTTTGCCAATAGAAGAAGTCAATAATAAAGTTTAAAGTCTACACCAAAAAGTTGTAAAATTAAAAAAAACAAGAAGATCAACCTTTTAATTAAATTTGAGAAGTCCCGTTATTACAAGTATAAAAGAGGAAATAATTAGTATATTACAGAAATTTGATAGAATAAGATCAAAATTTCAAGAATTTTTACAATAAATCAAGTTTTATCTAAGGTTACATTATTTCCAACATCTTAATGGTTTTACTCAAGTTATACTCAAAGGCATACTTTTATCTAGAAGTATTCTTTCTTAGTTTGTATCTTTGATGGAAAAGCATAGACATCTTCTATATAACTTTAATTCATTTTTGAAAGTATTTACAACCACATTTGAAGAAAGAGATTGACAAATGATTGCAAAAACTAAATTCCTTCTTTTATGACAAGGATCACATTCAACTTTCATATATGTTGTTGAATTACAAAACCTTACTTGTCATGGAAATTAAAATGATAAAATCCTTATTAATCAATTATAATATGGATTAAAAGATAATGTCAAATATTCATTATTGATAATGTTGAAAGTAAACTCATTAGAATAATTTTTACCAAAGCTATTGTATGCAATAATCAAATTTTTCTAAGACGCCAAAAACAAATAATTAGTTGGAGAGGAACAATTTAAGTTATAATGACAATTCTTAAATTTTTAAAAAATTATTCATTAAAATTAGAATCTATAGAAATTAATATAGTGTGTTTCAAATCTCACATTAAGCAAAAAAAGATACAACATTATTAAGATAGATTGTGCTTATATTATAGAGAATCTAGAGATACTATTTATTATTATTCAAAGAAGCAATATAATCATAGAATAAAGAGCATGGTTGTTAAAGATGACAATGTTTTAAAAAATAATTTTATTGAATTACAATGAAAAGCGTGGCATTAATATCTAATAGAATATCTAATAAAGATTATATTTTCTTCTTAGATTCATTACCTTTCTTTATAATTGATGTTTTTTTAGTACCAAAATATTGCAAATCCTTTGCCTTATTGGATTTATAATTGTTAACTTGTATTATAAATGAAGACTTTGTTAAAAATGGAAAGTACTCATTATCAAGAAAACTAAGTTCATGCATGTATAAGTCACAAATAATTGTATACAATCTTCAAAAGATGCTATTCATGAAATTATTCTTATAAAAGTAGCAAATAATAATCATAATAGCATAATTATATTTAATATTATTAGATATTTTTTTGATCTAATTATTTTAGTTTTATTGTGGTTATAAAATTATTATCATCAAATAGATTAAATTACTTTTAATATTTAATTATGGAAGGTTAATAGAAAAATGAAACAATAAGATCCTAACAAGTCTAATATAACCTTAAATAAATTCTAATTAAATCTAATAAAGCTTTAACCAATCTAAAAGAAATTTAAAAGAAATTACTAAATAAACATGAAGAAGTTGTATATTAATCTTAAAGAAAATAATAAAAAAATCCAAAAAATACTAAAATAAAAACCTTCAAAAAATATTAAATAAAAAAATCTTAAAGAAATAATAAATGATTTTAAAGAAATAAAATAAATAGATCTTAAATAAATCTAAAATAAATCCTAATCAATTCTTAATACAGTGCTTAATAAATCCTAATTAAATTCCAACAAAATCCTAAATAAATCATAATCAAATCCATATTAAATTCTAATT